CCCCCCCCCATGCAAAAAAAAAAAAAAAAAAAAAAAATGAAGATGGGAATTTATAACAATTTAGAAATCATAGACCAACTGATGAAATAAGAACGTATTCCCTGGAAGGTTGCTAGGACGGGAGCACACCCTTCAGGGTATAAGCTACACCATCTCTACTGATGCTGTGGATACATAGCACAGTTTATCTAATAAATCTAGCAATATTTCCTTAAGAGGTGTGCCTTAGAGAAAAAATACGGGAAAAAGGAGAAATATTTTATGCTGAAAGCTCAGCACAGTTTGTTGAGTTGGTTTATCACAACCACTCCTTAGAAGGTAGATGTAGTAAAAACAATACCACAAGTATCAGGAATGAAAGGGGAGTGTGTGCAAACAAATTATATAATCAACAAATGACTTCCCAAGTATATTTAGAGTGGCATATACGGGCGACTGGAGTACTGGAAAAGCCTAGTGGCTACATGTGAAATATTTTTAGTACATGATTTTAAATATTTTTAGCAGCCAAAAATGTCATTTAAATTTTACATCTACTTGAAGGAAACCTAGCTTGAATAGATCCAGGTAGAACCAGCTTTTTTTATTGTTCCCCTTTACCAGCCAAATCCTAAACAGGAGATGAAAGACCCTTTGTGGGTGATAACTGTAAACACCACCAAGTTCTGATAAATGAGTATCACATTGACAGTGTTGCATTCAAAATGCTTCTTAAAAGCACTATGAATAATTCACTCGAAAAATACCAACAGGGACCTAAAAGCTAAAGAGACCTAGAAGTGAACTTCAGGTCTGAGGATATTTCTCTCAAGGACCACTACAAAAAAGATCAACTTTCCGTTTCCATTCTCTAGGGACAGGCTCTCTCACTCTATTTGTATGAAGCTGTTTAAAAAACAAGCAAGCAAATAAACCACAAAATATCATCTTTAAATTTATGGAGTCTTTCTGAGAAATCTGAACTGTTTTCTGTAATCAACTTGCTCTTCAGGTAGACTAATTAAAAGGTAAGAGAAAAATATACACCCTTTAATAAGGATGCTGGATTTAGACTTGTTTGATTCTAAGACCACAGAGAGGTTTTTAAAAATGAGATACTTGGGCCCCATTCCAGACCCTCTGAAATAGAAGGTCCAGGGTAGGGCCCAGGAATGTTTTGGAGTTTTTTTTTCTTTATTTTTTTAAAAGCTCACCACAAGATTTCCAGATAAAGATGATAGGATAAAATTCGATCAGAGAATTGTGCTCTCCCAACAACAAAAGATGAAAAACAAAAGCCAGGGAATTTTTCAACAGCAGAAAATAAACAAAGAAAGGAGTCTAACCTCAGTTCACATACTTTGGAAAGTAGTGGCCAGGAAGAGGGATAGAAGATTCTGGGAGAATGGACCCTCACAGTCACAGGAAGGGAGGTAAGTCCACAAACCCTGAAAATCGACTCAGACAGAAGTAAATTGAGTGGTGAGAAATAGTGAAAGAAGAACTCAGATAGGAAGACGTCCACGCTGACCACTCAGGTGGATTCCAAGAGTTGGGAAGGAGCAGGGGCTTGCCACCTGGATCTGCACCTTCCAGGTCACCAAGCTGAATACATGGGGAGAACCACCCCAAACCTAGGGATTCCAGAGGACTAGGATATATCTTTGGCCAAATGGAGTAAACCCCCAAACAGAACCTCTAACAAAGTTTCAGAAGAGACAGCAGACCTCAAAGCTGGGCCCTTTTCCCCACTGTGACTCTAACCCACCCTCAGCTTTCAGCAACCCGGGCAGAACATGCAATAATACCCCAGCCTCAAATGGAACTCAGAGGAAAGACTGATGGAACCAGAAAAGGAAGAAAGCATGGCAGGGAACATTCACCTGCCCTCCATCAGAGCAAGCGGGCACTGGTGTTGCTTACATTAATAACAAAAATGTGCCAGGTGTCCACCCCAGAACTTTACATGCTTCATCTCAGTAAGTCCCATCAACAACCTTATATGGTAGGGGTTATTACCACTTCACTAAACCGCCCACATTAAATACGAGCAAGGTGAAAAGATATGACAGGTAACACAGAGAGAGGAACGAAGGAAGGAAAGAAGGAAGGGAGGGAGAGAGGAAGAAAACGACAGAGAAAACCCAGTCTGGAAAAAAACATATAAGAAAAATAAGAAGAATCAAACTCCTCCAGGCGATTTTACACTATAAACAAACAATAAAAACACAAAGCCAATAAAGCAAGAATCCCAAGACTGGGATAAAACAGAGTGGCATGAAAAGGGAGATACACAGCTAAGGAAATGAACTGAGGACTAAAACTTACCACTATAGAACTACTAAGTAAATTAGTCTGGATATCACATTTAATAGAGGAAAGTTCTGAAGTAACCTTAGTGTGAAAACCACTAACGTAATCAGGAAAAAAGAGGATCTAAACAACAAGAAGATGTAATATGAGAATTACTTGTATCTCTGAAGTATATAACCCAGTAAGCAGAATAGAAAAAAAATCCAAATATAATCAAAGAAAGTTCTCCTGAAATAAATGAAAAGAATGTGCATATGAAAGGGCTCTAAGGAAAACTGATTAAGACTGGTCCACACCAAGAAGAGCATGGTGAAGTTATCAAACTGCTAAGTTGAACAAAAAATTCTTCACGTATTTACTCAGAAAGAGCCAAGTTGCCCACAAAGAAAAAAAACTGGGGTGGCCCCAGACTGTTCCATCAAAAGACAATGTAGTAATGACATTTGGAGGGAAAGAAAGTATGACAGGAGAACGACCAAGGCAAAGTGTTCTTCCAGTACAGTGGCATTCGCACGCACGAGACAACCCGAGGAACATGCTGTAAGCTCCGAGTAGGGGGGGACATCCTCTTTGATGCCAAGAAACAAGTGGAGAAGCTGTGGAAGAAGGAATGGTGGTGTGCATAAGCCGACACTTACATACAGAACTAAGCCAAGTTAACTGAGGGACTTGAGTGACAGAACCAAATCATATAACTCAGTTAGAAGAGGAAGCAAAACTTGCAAATATCATTTTCTTTATCTCTCATAGCAGTGAGTCAACTGAGCCTGTTTCAAATTGCAACACGGAATTTAAAAAAACACACATATGCAGCAACTACATCCTACAAGTTTTTCATAATCTTTTTGATAAATCTTATAAGAGATTAATATTTAAAGTTCAGTAAATCCCTCACTTTAACGTCCTTTTTCACTGCTGAAGTATTTTAAATTTAATTCTCTATATGTATGACATATACAACATGCAATATGTTTTATAAAATGATTCCTACCTAGTTACCCTTTACAATGAGCTCCAATAAAAACAGACCAGAACCTGAATGGTTCGTAAAAAAGAAAGTATAAATGGCTCAAATGTATAAAAAGATGCTCAACCTCATTCATACCAAGAGAAATGCAAATTAACACTCAAAAGTACCAACTTTTACATATCAAGTTGGCAAAGATCAAAGAGTTTGGTACCATGAAGCACCAGTGAGGCTGAAGTTACGCAGGCACCGCCCCACACCGCTGATAGTGTCAAGGGCCACAGCCTCTAAGGAGGGCAGCCTGGTAGTCTCCACTGGAATCACAAGTGTTACATTAGGTACCTCGCCTCCAGATATGCTGACCTAGGCGGTGGTAATTCAAGGTCATTCGTTACAACTTTGTTCACAGTTGCAAACAATTGGAAAAATCAAAATGTGCATCAATCCAGTACAATACAGTAAAGCTGTAAAAATAAAAATGAATGCTTGCAACTATCTCCAGGATGCAGAAAAGCAAGGGGCATACCAAAGTGCTGGCAAGTGAGGAGGAAAACACACACATATTTGCCTATATATGCATAAAGTCTCTCTGGAAGGATGTGTAAGAAACTGAAAACATTGGTTGTCCCCAAGAAGGGAGACTACTGGACAGGGGTAGGAGAAGAGACACCTCACTGTATACCATTTTGTAGCTTTAGGATTTTTAATCATATAAAGTCATTATCTGGTCATAACAAATAATTTAGTTTTTTTAAAAAAAGAAATAGGGCTGGCCCGTGGCTCACTCGGGAGAGTGCGGTGCTGATAACACCAAGGCCATGGGCTCGGATCGTATATAGGGATGGCCGGGTAGCTCACTTGGGAGAGCGTGGTGCTGACAACACCAAGTCAAGGGTTAAGATCCCCTTACCGGTCATCTTTAAAAAAAAAAGAAAAAGAAAAAAAATTGTTGCTAATGGCAATTAATAATCGAGTCTCCTATACAAATCATATATGCTGTTTTAGAATTGTATGCTAAGAAAAAACAAAAACAAGAAAAAAAATTATATTAGGAATTTCAACCTACACTGCCTTGAATTGATAGTAACCTACGGCAGAGGTTGACAAGCTCTTTCTGTAAAGGACCAGACAGTAAATATTTCAGACATACGGGCGACTGCAGTCTCTGTTGCAACTACTCAGCTGCCAGTTGTCTTGCAAAAGCAGCCACAGACAATACATAAATGAGTAGGCGCAGCTATGTTCCGATAAAATTTTATTTACAAAACTAAGCAGTGGATGGATTTGGTTCATGAGAGATATGGGAGGCCAGATCATGTAAGGTTTTGTAGAACTTCACTGTAAGGATTTTGGATTTACTCAGAATGAAATGGGGAGTTATTGAAATTTTGAATAGAGGGATACCGTGATCTGGCTGCATTATAGAAAAGAGACAGACAATATAGGACAAGGACAGAGTAAAGGAAACCAGTTAGAAGACTCATAATCATCCAAGCAAGAGATAATGGTGACTTGGACCACAGTAGTAGCAGCGGAAGTGATAAGAAGTGGCCGGATTCTGGATAAATCTGGAGAGTAGAGTCTCCAGCATTTCCTGACGAATATGAGAGAAAGAGGGAAGCCAAAGATGACTGCAAGGTTTTTGACCTAAGCCAGGAGGGATGCAGCTGCCCTCAAGTGAAGGGGGAAAGCTGGGCCGTGGAGATGCAGATTTTGAGCTGAGGAGGTCAGGAGTTTGGTTTCAGGCATGCTACATTTCAGATGTTTTTTAGGCATCTAGGTGGAGATTGTGAGCAAGCTATTTCTGGAATTCAGGAAAGAGGTCTGGCTTGGAGATCTGTATCTGTGAGTCACTGTCATACAGATCCTACCTAAAGCCACGAGACAGTTGAGATTATCGAGAGAGTACAGACTGAGAAGGGAGAATGACCAAGAACTGGGTGCTGGGCACACCAATGTGAAGAAGTGGTGGGAAAGGAGGAGCCAGCAGGGGAGTCTGGAAGGAGCTTCCAGGGAGGTAGCAGAATGCAGGAGACCATGCTGAGGCTGCTGTGGAACCCTCTTCACAGTTTATGACTAACAGTGCAATATTTAAATAATCAACAGGAAGCAGACCGTGTTCCATTCCTACTTTCACTTCTAAAAGCCTTAAAGTGGTAACGAGGCTGACATGCACACAGGGCACTAGAAACAGATCTGGATCCTTGAGTTATAAAAATTATTTCATTGAGCCATGTTTTACATTTTATTTACTCAATAGACACAAGACTTGTCATCCATAAAAATATTCCATACGTACCACTTAGGTGCTTATTTAAACAACAACAAAAAACCTATAAGAACCTGTACTCTTTCGAGGACACATGACCTTATGTAGATGGTCTTTGGATTAAGACTAAATATTCCTAAACCCAAAATCATCTATATCCTTAACAAGTCTTAAAACAAAATGCTTAAACCAATTCAACTACACAACAAGAAATCATTAAAGATTTTGTATGCCACTTCGAGTTCAAGCTTAGTTCTACCAGCAACTTTTAAATATTTTAGATAAAAATTAATTTCTTGGATAATTTCATCATTAAAGATTTAGGGGGTGGGGGGGGCTGGCCAGTTAGCTCAGTTGGTTAGACCATAGCCTTATAACACCAAGATCACAGGTTTGGATCCCTATACTGTCCAGCTATCCCCCCAAAAAAGATTTAAGGAGGTCCAAAGTACATGTGAAATACTGCTCTGTAGTCTCTCTCACACACTGCTGGAGGGAGTGAGAATTAGTACAAGGACTTTGGAAAACCGTTTGACCCTATCTACTAAAGCTAAACATACCCAACAATTTCGCACCTAAGTATATACCAAGAAATGTGTTGAGATACGCACCAAGGCCTTGTACAAAAATGCTTGTAGAAGTGCTATTCATTATATCCCCAAGTTGGAAACAACCAATTGCCCAGTGGCTGTAAAACGGATGAGCTCTGGTACAGTTATACAAAATACTAAATAGCAATGAAAATAAGCAAACTACCACATCTAGCAACATGGATAAATCTCACAAACAAAATGTAGAACAAAAGAAGCCAGATACAAAAGAATGCATACCAAGTGATTATGTTCATGTAGAGTTCAAAAATAGGCACTACTAACCCATGCTGGTAGAAGTCAGGAGAGTGCCTTGGGGTCAGGGGGCGGAGGGTATGGTTGTGAACTAGAAGAGACTAGGAGGCTTCCGAGGCTAGTCATTTTCTGTTTCTTGACCTGGGTGCTGGTTACATGCGTGTGTTCATGTTGTGAAAATTTATGGAGCTGTATACTTATGATTTGTGCACTTCTCTGTACATATATTTCAATAAAAAGTTTACTGAAAAAGTCTGCTCCCAAATTCAGCAAATATCCTTTTTAAAAAACTGAGCCTAGGGCTGGCTGGTTAGCTCAGTTGATTAGAGTGCAGTGTTATAAAATCAAGGTCAAGGGTTCCGATCCCTGTACTGGCCAGCAGCAAAAAACAAAAAATACTGAGCCTAAAAGCAATTTTTTAGTTTTTACTTTTACTGTTCTATGAAAATTAATTTTCTGAATTAAAAGTGATTGTTTCTATTGAAATATTACCTTACCTAAAAGAGAAAAATATTTAAAGGATTATATATACTATAAAATGAGAATATGTTATCCTTACACCATTTTGCAGCTAACAATCTTTTTCAGTATCAACTTACCTGAGTTGTTTCGCATAGCTGAGTTCAATCTCTGTCCTTTCCTTTACAAATTTGATGTATTTCTCAAGAATATCAATTCCCCACTGTGTGTGTTTTTCTAAGTTGTCAAACTGATCCTGTTTAAAAAAAAGAAAGAGAGTTTAGAGTCTTTCTCTGTAAGTAACATAATTTCAGCGAACAATTCTCTTAACAATATATTGCTACACAGAAAGTAGTGCAAATATTTTCCATGATTATACTTGGGTGCTTTTTTGTGGAGCAGTTTTAAATCAACATTACCAAATTTGGTTTGAAAACTGCCTGGAGTACTGAACTCTGACCCATTCATTCATGTTTCCTATTCCTTTTAGAAACATGGTTTTTGGAATTAATGTCCCACTGCAAAGGAAAACGTCTTTCCCAGATGCCAAAAACGGACAGGTGAAATACACGCGCGTGCACACACACACATGCACGCACGCACAGCCATGCTATTAGCACCTTAACTGTTATCTCTAGGTAATCGTGCAAAACAGCTAATTAAATTGGGGACATGGAAGTAGGAGGAGAAAAGAGTTACAAGATTCTTCTTTCTTCAAATGAAGAACTCTCATAGACTTAATTCATTCAAACATATATCAAGCCCACACTGTGTGCCAGGACCAATGCTTGGAGCTGAGGAACCAAGATGAACAGCAATACAGGCCTAACTTGCAGAATGTGATTCCCAGTCTGGAAGAATGAGAGGGGGCAGGTATCTAGCAACAGCGAATGCACAGGCATGTTCAGGACTGTTTGAGTACAAGGTTTGTCCTGATTGAGTACAAGGTGGGGTTGAGGTGGGGCAAAACAGAATGGGGGAGTGGGTGATGAGACTAGAGACAGTCCATGGCCAGATCACCCAAGACCTCAAACAACGAGCTAAGGAGCTTAGACTCTCCTGTAGGCACAAGTAGGCCTACAAGAGTGGCATGACCATAGATATATTTAGAATCATCAAGGGATGAAAGTTAGGAGAATGTTCCAGTAGTCCAGATGAGAGAAAACAGGAGCAGAAGAGTTTTAGAGGCATTTAACAAATAGAATCAATTAGTCTTACTAACTGATTGGATGGATGAGGAGGCTGGGAAGGATATGAGAAACAGGGAGGACTCCAGAGTGGCTTTTGCTTCCTGTGACTAGATAGATGGGAAGTCTGGGGTGGAAATGAAATGTAGTTTTTTTGTGTGTGTCTTTTTCCGTGTCCAGCAACGGATCGCAACCCTCAGTGTCGCCCCCGTACCGGACCGGGGACCGGCAACGGGATTGCAACCCTCAGCGCTGCTCCCGCGCCTCACTCAGCCAGTGAGCGGGAACCGGCCCGTATGTGGGATCCGAACCCTCGGGCGGGAGCGCCGCCACGCTTCCCAAGCGGCGCACTATCCAGTGCGCCACCGGGCCGGCCCAGAAATGTAGTTTTGATATGGTGAATGAGGGACTGGTATGTCCAGAGGAGAGCTGGAAAAACAGATCTACTCAGAGCTCAAGGAGGGAGGCCAGTGAGCCGGTGGATCTAAAGCAACAGCCAAGGATCAGAGTGCCAAAGACGATTGCAACTCTGCATAGAATTAGTAGAGGGCCTGGCCCAGGAAGGGGAGCCTAGATAGGACAATGGAAGTGAGCCAGAGAGAGCATTAGCACATCACTGGAAAGAGAGAATTCAAGTGAGGCAAAGATAGAAAGTTTGATCTCTCCTGAGAAGAAACAGGGACAGAGGATGAAGGTTCTAGCCCCCGCAATGGGACTTCACAGAAACAGGTCACGAAACAACCCAAAGTTTTAGTCATTTGCCTATAGGATGCAGATACAGTCTCTGCCAAATTTCACAAATCAGTCATGAGGATCATGCAAAATGGGGAAATGCCAAACCGAATATAAAAACACAAAGCTACTATTTAATCCTAGCACATGTATGTGTAATCTAACAGTACACATTCAGTGTCATACTTCAGGCTGTTGTTATTAACCACTTTACTGAGGTATGGTTGATATAAAAAAGTTGTACATATTTAATGTATACAACTTGATGAGTTTGGAGATAAGGATACACCCACCAATCACCACAGTCTACCCCATAAATATATTTGTCACCTCCAAAAGTTTCCTCTCACCCTTTTATTATTTTTTGTGTGTGATATGAACACTTAAGATCTACCCTCTTTGCAAAGTATGTAATACAGTATTGTTAACTGTAGGCAACATGCTGTACATTCAGCTTGTTTTGCAAATCTAGCATTTTAAATCCAGCATCAATTTTAAGTCTGTCATTGTGCTTTGACTCTATTTTTCATTCAAAGCAGTGCGAACTGTAAAAGGGGTACATCTTCCATATAATCCAAACTTGGGAGCGGGTGGGTGGGCAGGCAAGTAACAGAGTCAATAACACTTTCTCAAACTAGAGAAATCCTCTTCTGAAGAAAACTAATTTCCTCAATCTTACTGCCACCTAGGCCCACAGAACAATTGGAGAAACATCATCTTATGAAATTAATGTCTTATTTTACTAAAATGTTTCTCTAATTGAAAATAATCACTGTAAAATCTTTATCTTTATAGCTAATAAGTTTTAATATTATCATAAAAATAAGGGACAAATATTTAAAGTTGTCATTGATTCTTGGTCCTCAATAATATATTCCACAACCCCCTGGATTCCGTCTCAAGAAACACTGCTCAGCAGATTGTTTATGTTATCTGCAAAGACAAGGGTTGTCAAGCAAATTAGTAGTGTAAACAAGACTGTAGGTCTCTTTAAACTATTTGGGAGAACAAATATACAAACAATTCAAGTAATGATTACAAATCATTCTTAGCAATTTAGAGCAAGTCTTCTTTAAAGCCCTCTGCTAAGCAGTAACCCTTTGTTGATCTAGCTTCATAGCAACTATATTTATTTTTAAAATGATAAACAACCCTCCCTCTATTTAAGAGCCCTCCCCTCTGTGTAATCCCCATCATCTCCAAAGCCTTGGCTGTTTTCAGCAGTTAGAGGTGCTGCTTTGAAAACTTGCTAAGAACACACATATGCTCCCAGATTCTGTGTCCTGTTAGCAATCTGACTACATACCTTTTCCTATTAGCTTGCAATTCTTTTTAGCCCTGATGTATACAATATAAACCAACAGCTTTTGATACCAAAGCCCATAAAAACAAAACAAAACCATCTACATTTGAATTGAGTTCACTTTAAAAATTACTGACCTCAAACCAACAATGTTTTCAATAAAGTTGTCTGTATTCAAGACCATTCTGCAGGCTATAGTAAAGCACTTATGAAAATGACAGGGTCCAAGTAAGATAGAAGATCTTAATAATGAAAACTTTACACAGTAACAAATAAATTAGTGCTTGCTTGCTCCTATGGCACAGCTCTTTTTATACTATATAAGTTGCCTCTGGTGATGCCACACTACTCTTGCTGTCACATGGATCACTGCAGCATGGACGTTTTTGACAACAGCTAAAAGAAAATTCAAAACAGATGAAAAACTAATCAACCCACTTACATTCTTTACTAAGATGTGGAAAACTTAATGTAAAAAAATTCCAAATCCTAAAAAGACTCTTTTGTGAGCAAATATTATAAATGGTCCTCTAAAATATAGCCTTTGCAACTTTGGGGATGGTTCCATTATCAAAAATGCATCCCCTCCTGCTTGATGTCACAGGACAGTGGTTCTGAGGACCCCTTTGCTCTCTTACAAATCATTGAGGATCCCAAGTATTTACTCTATCAGATATTAAAAACGGAGAAATGTTTCTTAATATGTATTAATTCATTTAAAAAAACAATAAATCCATTACATGTTAATGTAAATGGCATATTTTTATTTTTAAAAACTGTACTTTCCAAAGCAAAACAAAAAATAGTGGGAAAAGTGGCACTGTTTCACATTTTTGCAAATCTCTTTAATGTCTGGCTTAATAGAAGACAGCTGGAATCTCATAAATGTTTCTGCATTCAATCTACTGCAGTTCCTTACTTTGGTCGAAGTATATAAAAAAAATACAGCTTCATAGAGATATGTAGTTAGAAAGCAGAGGAGAACTTCAATACCCTTCTTAGATAATTGTAGATATTCTTCTTTGATACCACATCAAAACTTGACAAGTAGTAGTTTCTCAAAGGCTAGTTGCAATATGAAATCTGAAACCATAGCAATGAACTTTCATACTTGGTTACAATAAAATCCACTAGTCTGTCCTGCACTTTGAGTGGACCTTTGCCATGCATGATTGTACAACATCATTGGTTGGTCATTTAGAAAATATTATCTCACTGACACATGCTGATCTTTCAAGTGTTGACAAGTTTCATTACAGAATATCAAAAAATCACATTTGTTTATATCACTACCCATCTCATCTTTTCTGATGAGTCTTTAAATATTTGGAAGCTGTCAAGCTCACAGTACAAATTTCCCAAACTTCTAATTTTCACTTAAAAGCTAGAATTTTATCTCTGGCAACAAATATTATCAGTTGTTGAAGTGACAGGCTCACTTTATTCATTTTGGAGTAAATGTTTGCCAAATCCTCAAGAGTTTGTCAATTGTACTCTGAAGTAAAAATGATGTCCCCTGAAAAAACCAGCTAGTTCTGCCTAGAACTCAATCAATCACATAAGTATTTTGGTATGCACTAAAGTGGTTTATGCACACTTCCTATCTTACCACACATGCTACTAAAAAGATGTATTTTCAAGGGTCAAGATTTAATAAAATTAATAATCTTCACTGATTCATCAAGGACATTTTAAAATAAAACCAAAATTTTTGTAGTTACATTAGTAGCTAATGGTGAACAATTCAGTAACTACCAGTACAGTTTGGAGTCACAGCCCTGACTCCTGTGAAGGTGCCAGTAGTTTTACCCACCACTGCTTTTGCACCATCAGTGTGAATGTCAACACAGTGAAAAAGACAACCATTATGACAATAGTTCTGACATTGTGGACTCCATGAGAAGGTTTCAGGAACCTCCAGAGGTCCAAGGACCACACTCTAAAATTTTTATTTCAAAGCTGCACATTTCCAAAGATTAAGAAAGTCAGGTAACAACCTAATGGAAAATAATGTTTAATTTATAAGTGCACATT